GATTTGTGTGCTGATCTAGTGCACCTCCCTTCCTCTAAATCCTACTAGAAATATCACAGAAGATCATTTAAATTTCCTCTAATTCAATTTAAACACAAATCCACTCTCTGTTTCTAATTTAGGATTAGAAACAGAGAGGTACAGAGAGAGGAGACGGATTGAGAAACTGTTCACGAGCAGCAGCTTCCAGAGCCCTGGAAAGCGAGAGAGAAACTGCAGCAGACAGAAGGTTTAGAAAGAGAGGTCTGTTACAGGGGAAAGGGAGGTGTGTTTATCTGCATCAACAGAGCCAAGCCCCACCCCACCCCGCACTGCCCAGACCCAAAGACAACAACAACTCATCTTCTCGCTCTCTCAGTTTTTTAATAATTAGGGAACAGAGTGGCCGACCAAGCCCTGCGCTGCCTGCCAAGTCCCTGCGCAGCTCTAATGGAGATTTATGCTGTGATAAACACCCTGCTGGCAGCCTGCCTCCCTGCCTCACTGCTTCTCTCTCGTTCCGACGGTCATGCCCTCCTCCCCTCCCTGGTGTAGCGAGACCAGTATTCATTCATCCATTTTCTGTTTCTTCCAGTTCAAGGTCGCAGGGGAGCTGGAGTCTATCCCAGCAAGCACTGGGCACAAGGCAGGGGACACCCTGGGCAGGACACCAGTCCATCACAGCGCAGACACACACAGACACACACAGACACACACAGACACACACAGACACACACAGACACACACAGACCCTGGGCAGGACACAAGTCCATCACAGTGTAGACACACAGACACACACAGACACACACCCTGGGCAGGACACCAGTCCATCACAGTGTAGACACACAGACACACACCCTGGGCAGGACACCAGTCCATCACAGTGTAGACACACAGACACACAGACACACAGACACACAGACACACAGACACACAGACACACAGACACACAGACACAACATGGCCAATTTTCCCAGACTGACGCACCAGGATGTCTTTGGACTATGGGAGGAAACTGAAGCATCTGGGGGAAACCCACAGGGATCATGCAAACTCCACACAGATAGCACCCCAGATCCAGGACCGCGTGGTGCCCCTGTCTGATGCCATAAACCCAGACTGAGGGTATCTAAACCAGTGTCCAGGCCCAAACCACTACAGCTTTTCAATCTACCCAGTGAAGACCACTTGTCTGTCTCCCCCTCACTGTCCCCTTGTCTCTGCCTCTTTACATGGTCTCTTTCCTGTCTCGGTGTGTCTTTCTCTCGTTGTTGTGTTTCAGTTTAGTCCTAAATTACTTTTCTTTCCGTCTCAACTCTCACAAATGTTTCCATCTGAGACACATAATATTTAGAATAAAAGTGGAAATCACTAAAAAGACACCCCAGCTTCGCTCTCTTATAATAATAAT